CTGAAGCTAGCTGTCTCAGACCTCCTGGAGGAAGAGAGGGATTTAATGAGAAACAAGTCTCAGTTTGTCCTGAGATGTAAGGAAAAGAGGGTGTGCAGGACCATGGGGGTCCAGTCTTCGTGGGACTAAAGGGCAGGTAATGAAACGCGTCATCCCATATCCTCACCGGAGTGTCTTTGCAGGTTCTGAATGAGAAGTTTTGCAAGAGGATGACCACAGCCACTTTCACAATGAGGAGAGCAAACCTCATTCCTCTGCAGTTCCTGGGGCCAGCCCCCAACAGCAGGAAGGTGTAGGGGTCAACAGACTCTTCACTCTCTTTACTGAACCTGATTACAACAACAACAACAAGTTGGAAAGGGCTACTCTTCCAGGATGTGTCAGCTTTCAGATCTGAAGTGATGGGGGTCTGGGAAGGCCAAAGCTTTTTGTACTTCTGTAGGTATTAGAAGAACCCAGCTAAGTCCCTTATTTCTGTCTCAACAGATACCTTATGCCTCTGCTTTTAGCCTTCTGCTTGGAGTTGGCTGTGCACCTCCAGGTGCTTCAGGTGAACAGGGAATACCTGAAACATGCTAATGGATTTCATAACTACTCTTTTCTCAGAACTCCCTCTCAGCTCAAAAACTGAACCCAGATTTCAAACCCTAAACCACACAGGTCTACAGCTTCACGTCTTCCCTTTAGATCAAAGGACTGAGCGAACACAGACGCTCTCCCCCTGCGTGACTAAAGGCAGGGCTGCTTTTGAGACATGCCAGCCGTTCCTCTCCTCGTCATGAAAAACAGGGCAGAACAATCAGCTTCACAGAGAAATTTGCCACTGAGCATTTTCAGTAATACTCCTTAGTGATCAGTTGGTTTTCATGTCAGAAAGCTTTTCATTCACAATGCATGAGGTCCAGGTACAAACCTCAGCCATGCTAAGCCAGCAGTGAAGTATCTCGCTACTGAGACACCAGCACAACCCTCTGATGAACTCCCAGCAAGGTAAGTGATCCCTGAAGAGCTCCTGTCCAGCTACCCATGCCTGGTTTGTCAACCGAGGTAAGGATGGAGCTACTGGAGTAACCGGTGTAACATGCCCATTGCCAGAGTACTCCCATTTGAGTGGCTCCTTCTGCATTCAACACAAGGTGACCATAGGGGTCCATAAGTGATTTTGGCAGCACACATGTCCCTCCTTAACTTCTGCCTGATACCACTGCCGCATTTTGTCCCAAAGGACATTCGCACACCAAGGTTAGCTTCCAGGGGCATTTCAGCTCCTGGTGCAAGGGCACAGATGTCGTTCTGCTCGCTCTGGGCCAGCCCTCAGTGTCTTTGTGGCCACCTGGTGACTAGCGGGCCCAGGATCTCCCAGGTCTGCCTCGAGCTATTGCCTCATTTCTCAGGGTCTGACAGAAGAGACTCCTAAGCAAGGATAGTTTCATTACTTGAGTTGAAGAATTAAGTTCTATTTCCTACTCGTCTTTGCCCTTCCACTGCTGATTTGCACGGCACCGTGCCAGTCACCCGATGGCTCTTGTTTTAATATCTGGCCATAAACCCCTCAGTGTTACAGCTGCTGGGAGCTGCTCTCACTGTCGCTGCCTTCAATGCAGTTAATTAAATTCCATGCACAGTTTATGGATGTAGATCATAAAACTCCCCTCACGGTAATGCTGGGACTAGATGTCAGACAATGATAAATGCCTAATTTAAATGTTATAATCATGCATTCCCCACTTTTGCTGCCATTTCCGCTCCCAGGGCTGAAGTTGAGTGTGTTGATATTCCCCCTGCCTGGCCCTCACCTCTCAGGCCTGAACTCCTCCGGCTCTGGCCAGCATGCCAGGTCACGATGCAGCACATAGGCTAGAATCATGACTGCCATGCCCTTTGGAAGAGTCACCCTGTTGAGCTCCACCATCTTCTTGCAGACCCTCTCAATCCAGCTCCTGGGGCGGAAGAGCTGGAGGGATCCGTTCACCACCGTATTGAGATACTCCATCTGGGTGATGGCATTGTACGTGGGAGTAGCCTGGGGAGGGCAGTCAGGATGGCTACAGACATGAGACTTCAACCCCCACCCCAACACCCCACCAGTGATCCTGCTTCAGACATCAGACACCAGGGGAGGGGAAATCTTGGTGCATCCCCAGTAAAATGAGATGGGGAACTGAGCACAGCTATGCCGTTGGAGAAGAGCAGAACACAGCAAGCCCACCACTGAGGAACATACCATGCCCATGAGCACTACAGAGTTTGCCGACACAGTTGACAAGGGATCTATGCTGCAGCATGGAAAAGGCTCTCCAAAATGGCCCCTTCCCCACACTGAATACAATGAAATGGCCCAGTCCTGCTCCAGCTGTTGATGCAAGGTATCAGTGGCATCTGCTTTACCTCCTTTAGCTTCCCACTGGTGAAGGCTGCAGACATCGCAGTGTGAATCCTTTTCCACTTCTCATCTTCAGCCATGTTGAGGGACGACTCCAGGATCCCGTTCAGACCAAAGCTCTGCACAGGGAGAATTTTACAGCAAAAGGGACCCAGTTATACATGGAGATGAGTGAAGTTTTCCAACCCCTTTCCACATGACAGCAATGCCAAAAAAACCCACCCCACCACGAAGCGTTGACTTGGCCCCTGAAGTCATACGAGCTCTACCTCAACCAGCAAAAAACAGAAATGGAAACAAAAGTGTAAGAATCATAAATGGTATCAGTTCTGGGGTGCATTGAGGCTCATGTCCCAGTGTCCCAGCCAGAGTGGCCTCTACACATCCCTAGTTTTGTTGTTGGTACCATCAATAAACTGGGGCACAACAGAGAACAACTACTTGCTGAAGGGCTCAGAGAAGGACGACAGTAAACCAAGAAGAAACTCTTTCTTGCTCCATACACTCTGTACTGGAGAGGGAAGCACAGGACTAGATACCTACCCAGCGCTTGGTAAAAACGGTGTAGCACTCTCTCACCAGGATGTTTTTGAGGAGGATGGAGTCCGAAACAGCCAGCACAGGCTGCCTGCCGTCAAAAATCCTAAGCCAAGAGAAATCCACAGTCAGTCCATCGCTCGCAGTCAGTTGGAGCAAAAGCAGCCTGTTCTGTCTGCGGTCAGAGCCATGGACACGGACGGCTCCAGCCCAGAGGGTTTGGGCCAGCTGAGTCCCCTCTGACAAAACAGCCAAAGGGACGGGGCTGAAACTGTTTTATTATGTAGTAAAACAGGAGAAAGGGAAAGAAAGCGCCAAACACAGACAGCATGAGCATTTCTAGCCATCGTCTGTTGTATTACAGAGTTGCCAAAGCAGCGTGGGCTTAGATAAAAGGCAGTTTTTGCCACGACATCGATCGCCTGCGCTTGGGCTGTCGGAGCTCTGCTTCCGCAACTGGTAGCCGGAGTCAATAAATCCACACTGAATAGCCTTCCTGTGGGGCAGAGAGATTTCTCTGCGGGGCCTGCGAGGCAATGAGAGGGGAAAAACTTGTCTGTCTCCGCCGTTTTCCAGTCAACAGAGACAGAAAAACTTAAAAGCCACGGCGCGAGCTAAAGGGCAGGGAGCCTTGGGCCACAGCCAAGGGAAGCTGCCGTCTTCAAGGGGCTTCAGAACGTTTAATCTTTCAAAAAAAAGCCTCATGAAGCCTTCTAGGATTTTTTTTTTTTTTTTGTGCAAAGATTTTGCTTCGGTTTGAGAGATTCCCAAGAGAAGTATGAGAAGAGCCCCCCTGCCCAAAACCCGCGGGGAGGCAGGTTGAAAGGCGGCTCGTGGCCCGGCTCGGGGAGAAGCAGGGAGCAAGATGAAAAACGCGGCGGCAGCCCGTTCCAGACGGGCAGAAGAGCCGCTTCAAAGGCAGGGGGCTCAGTTTGGCACAGCGCAGCGGAGCGTTCTGGGCAGGCTGCGTGGTCGAGGAATGAGCGGCGCCCTCCGTCACTTGGGCACCTGGTGCTGAGAGATAAAGGGTCGGCCGTGCTGGTTTGGGGGGTGTTGGAGGACGAGGGGAGCTCCCCGGGCTCTCTGTGCTGCTTCCTCAGCCCCGAGACCACTAACGCTGTTTCATTTTTAACGTTCACAAAAAGCAATAAAAAGGTTTTTTCCAAAGCTCATGCAAATAAATTCCCCCCCCAACCTGGCCACCATCACCCCAGCCCTGCGCCTACTGAAATCGCAGCAGGAGGGAAGCCTTGGAGAGACAGCTGGAGACTTTCCCAGTGGTGACCCTGGATTTTCCCAAACTGTCACTGCTGGAATTACAGTGCTGAGATATGGTGGCAACGTACCTTCTCCCATTCTATTTTGGAGCCATGGAGCACCCCAAACAGGCAGTCTTGTTCTGCAGAAACTCACCTCCAGATTTTACCATAATTTTCAAAGCACATCTGAGCAAAATTCAGGACTCTCTGTGAAAGAAGAAAGGAGAAACGAACAGTTTGCCAGAGAAGACCGATAAAAGCAGGTCCCAGCTGGCAGCACGGTGCATCCCACAGATCCATTGTAAGTGGCAGAGGTTGTGAGGTGCATGGTAGCTCTTGTCACGTAGACACTCAGGGGACATTTGCACCAGAGGGAAAAAAGGGAGTAGAGAGAAAAAAGCAGCAGCATTTTCAACTTCCACTAGCCAACCTGAGCTAAAAATGTAATGAAGATGAGGGAGGACAGGGTACGCAGCTTCAGCGCGAGCAGAGCTAGCAGGCAGAACTAGATCCCACAGTGTCCTTTCATCTTCAGCTCAACAAGTTAGAGCTGTTACTGCCTTGTCCTCAGGAGATCCTCCACTGCAGTTACTGAACTGGAGCAATGATGGCTTTTTGCATTTTGCTTTGTTTCCATTAAGACTTTAACTGATGTTACATGTACGGATGAAACTTATGGGACACCTAACAGCCACCATGCATCAACTAAAGCATTAGCAAGAGAGCACATGCATGCTTCAAGCCCAGCAAACACAAGCTAAAACACCTCTTTCATTGAAGATAATACATTTTGTACTGCATTTGCAGTCGATTACCTGGGACCAGCTTCTCCCTAGTTATTTGCTAAGGTTTGGTAACTTGATAATATTTGAGTTTTCTTTAGAAATCTACTTGTCTGGCTTAGTTTCAGGATGGCCCAACAGCAAGCGGCTGGATGGGGCATTGCTGGGGCTAATTCAGCCTCTTCATGGGGATGACACAAAGCACAAAGAAACATGCAGTTCTCAGAAATCAGCTGTCTCAGACTGCTGTCTTGGATCTCTCTCCGATTTTTTTTTTTTTCTTTGTTTCCAACAGAACTTTGGCTGCCGGCAAGCAGGTAGAAATCCAGGTAGAAACTAATAGCTTAAATTGAAAAGCACAGCACATCTCATTCAGGTCAACCAGACCCTAAAAGTAATTTTTGTGTTCTCTATGTGTCCAAAGACCTTCCTACCTGAAAGCATCATTTCCATCTGACTGAATCAGGGGCAGAGGAAGGAGGTGCCCAAAGGATGGGACAACCAACGTCAGCTACGAGTAAGAACCTAAGGCAGCTGCTGGTACTCATGTGCCAGTACTCCAGGAAAGTTCCCAAAAATGGCAGAGACCGTGGCCTGGGAATGCCCAGCTTCTTGAAGGCCTGGAAGAGTCATATCCCACAGGTGCCAAACAAAGAGCATGTGGGATGCACTTATGTAGTGAAAAGAAATGGTTCTTCATCCTGAGCACAGTCAACAACTTAAACAGCTGACTCCTGTCTCCCAGAGAAAGCTGAAATTATGGAGCAGCAGCAGCAGTCCTGCTGAGGAGACTCTCTTCCTGCAATACATGCAGGATCTCTTGGGATACAAGCTAATTTAGGGTGTATTTTGATACAAGCCAAGGGCTGAAAGGAGCTGCAGACCAGGCTGAGCAAACAGGTGTAGCTGGGCACCTCGGGTCTGTATTCAGGGGCCTCATTTAGTTCCTCGGATCAGACAACTGTGTCTCAGGTGACTGAAGAGAGGACTCAGAGGGGTGAAGTTCTCAAGCTGAGACCTGCCCTTGTGTTTGTCTTTGCAAAGTGATGCTCAGGTGGTAGAGCCACAGCAGCTGAGCAGGGACATCGATTATAACAGCGAAATTAAGTGTTTGCCGGTATAGCTCACTACAGCTCCCCTGAGCCACGTAAGCAAAAGGGCAATTTTGCCAACATAACTATTTAAACGGAGGCTTCTGCTGCAACAGGCACATCACTTGGGTAAACGTAGACATCACCTGCTGCCCTGCTCCCAGAGCCCAGCCCAGCCAGGAGCACCCTGTCCCCATTGCAGCCAGCCAGAGCTTGCTGTGGTTAAAAACATGGAAGTTACTTCTTCTTTGGATCTGATGAGAAAAGTAAAAAAATCAAGAAGTTAATGTCTTATTTCCCTCCTGGCCCAGCCCAGCTTCCTCCTTCCCTTCCAGCTGGCACGGGGAGGGCACGGGGGAGCTCTCAACTTCCCCCTTTATCAGCCCTTGCCTCTGCCTTGAAGGTAGCACAGGAAGACTAAAGATGAGATTTTAACATGGATTCATGAACTTGGGTACTTCATACCAAGAATGATGGCCCCAGCTCCTCCCCAGTTGCAGGCACAGGGTTCTGCTCCTCCCTGGTCACCCTGGGGGACCAGCCTCTACTTACAGGACCAGGAAACTAAGGAAAACAATGAGGAGCAGCCAAGTGACACAAGAAAAGTTTGGCAGATCATTGTGTCTCCCATTCTGCCCAGAGAACACCATCTCCTGCAAAGCCACAGCCTTGGTTTATGATTTTTTTTTTTTCCCCTGGCCACAGCCATACTCACATGACGGCAAAGGAGGAGTTGTCTTGTTTGCTCGGTCAATCGCTTAAACTTTGATCCTTGGGCAGGTTTCTCCCTTGGTTGGAATGTCAACAAGATGCCCAGCCCCACACCTCTTGAGATTTAAAAGTGCTGAAAAGGAATTTTTTACAAGAGGAAAAGATAGTAAAGGACATGGAATTCCTTAACCCCTTCCACCTATCTCTAGCCCCAAAACTGTGAAGGTGCTGTGAGGTGGGGCTGAGGGGGAGTCCCCAGCTGCTCCTACAATTCCTACAGCAGCAGTGATGCGGGACCAGGTTTGCCCCCCTACCCTGTCCAGTCTTGCTTTTCCAAGCTTCACTGCTTTTATTGAGGGGCATAATTGGGAAGGCCCACAAACTGCTACTGTCCCCCTGCCCCGGCTCCCGGGGGGTTTCTGGCTGCGCAGATCACCACGTATCTTCCCTTGTGCCTTCTCCTCCCATCCCCATTTATCTTGTCCTACTGCACCTTCTATTTAGGGTCCAGGAGGGATAGGGCTGGAGGAGACAGACCTGCTGGGAAACACTTACCCAGGACTGGAAGGGATCTGTTATCCTCAGACAGCCCTCTGTACCTCAGCCTTGGTGGGGAGCACAACCTGTGCATCACTTGAGCTGGTGGGAGTTTCTCTTGACATCCCACTGCACAGCTTGGTGGCTTTGCTGACTTGCTGGCCCATAGCTCATCCCGAGGAAACCACCAGGGCATGGGCATCCATGCAGAAAGCAGTTGAGGACCAAGCAATCCCTGGCACTGGGAGCACCATGATCACAAGGAGGTCAGCCAACACTAACACTCCCCAGCTGTGGCTTTTTGGGATGGGCTTCCATTTCACTCCTGCCCCACCTCTCCGTTTGATCTCAGGTGTGAGGCTGCACAAGATGATTTCTGTTGTTTGGCTTTAGGCAGCTCAGTGTCTCCTCCATTCACACAGATGGAACCAGCTGCTTTTTACCGGAGAAACCGGGAAAATGCATTATGCGTACAGGCAGGCTGTGCAGTGGAGCCTCTGGCCAGCTGAGCTGCAAGTATGTGGACTGCCTGTGCTGGTGGGTCAGGGCATGGTGTCCTTTGGCCCCATCACACCAGGAAGGGCCACGAGTCTCCTCCTTTGTGCAGTCCGGTGCAGTCCCCTTCCCCACGTCCCCTGAGCCCACCAGTAGACCCGCGCGGCCAAGGGGACGCAAGACTCAGTCAAGGATCCCCTGTGCACATCACGCTCCCCTACACCAGGCATCGCTCTTCTGCCTTTGGCACACTCAGCCTTGAAGAAACCCAAGTGCTTCTATAATTATCTGCTAGTCAGCACAGGCAGATCGCATGTGGCCGTGCCTACAGGCCACCAGTGGGTTTTGCCTCTTCCCAAACATTTATTTTCCCTCATAAAACACAAGCAGCAGGTGCTGAGTTGCTGGTGGGTCCAGGGGCCATGTCCCCACCCACGTGGGAGAGCCAAGTGGCAGCGCTGCCGTTTTTGGTAGGATGTCTCAGACGTCGCCAGCTTCGCGTGGCAGCGCTGTGCTCGATGAATCACATCATCAGCGGTTGACAGTAATCAATTAACCGTGTTCTGGAGGCACGTGCCTGATGCCTGCTCCCCCAGGCTGCTCTGAAGAGCTGAGCTCCGGCAGCGTGCTGCCACAGGAACCTTATGCTCTATTTTATGGGGTCTCTCCGTTATAAGACACCTGGAAGCAACCACACACTGGGAGTTATCCTTTACCGCTGCATCCAAACACCGGTTCTCCTCCTTGCAGGGTCCCGTTCCAGAAGGACAGCAAGAATTGCAACGAGAAGCAGGAGGAGAAACCAGGTGCTGGGACAGCAACTCCCCAGCTGGGATTAGCTGCATTTCTTCCCTCACACAAACCCTTTGATTTTCTGATAACCTCTGCTCACTGTCGTTGTGATTTCTCAGCGGGAAGTGGGTTTGTGGTTCAGTATTTTCTCCTCTCTTGGAGAGAATCTGAGGCAAAGCCAGTCTTCAGAGGAGAACAAGGATGTGAGCTCCCCCTCCAAAAAAGTAAATAAACAGTGCAGGAACTTCACATGCAAGGAAATCGCTTGTTTGGCCAAAATAGGTTTGAGTGGGAGCAATCTGCTGATCCAGAGGTGATGTCACCGCACAGGGCTCATGCAGCCAGGCTCCATGGCATCCCCACCAGAAGCCATGTCCACTGGATGCACACATGGCTACCAAACTTCTGCAAACTCCTTATTTACCTGACTTTTGTTTGGTTTTGGTTTTGCACATCTCTTGGTGCGCCGTTGTCTCCCTGGCTCCACAGATCTGAGAAAATCACAGTTGATAAAAATTCCGCCCCCCAACCAAAATTGCCAGCACAGGTCAAAGCTGCAGGTGGGGTGATGCTGAACAGTCATCATTGCATACTTTTATACAAATTGAATGTATTAAAGAGATGCTTTTATGCTTATGCAGCCCTTTGGACCAAATGTGATGGTAGTGTGTACTTACTGAGGCTATTTTTTTAATGTCAACATTACTGAAATAGCACCCAGGAGGGATAAAGCAGAGAGGAAGGTTCTCTAGATCATTTTTCCTGGCAACATTTAAAAGGTTTTAGCATTGTGGACAAGCAAACCACACAACAGTGCTGCAGGTGAGGCTGCCGCAGCATCCCAGCACTTCGTCTAAGGGAAAGGAAGAAAGTTGCCCAAGTTTGGGATACACAGCTCTCGTCTGTCCAAGGCTGGTGACCCAGGAAAAACATCTCGTGGTACTGAAAGGAGGAGCGATGAGTGCTTCCCACCATGCTCATGTAGCAGATATGCTAAAACAAGTGAAAAATAACAGCAGCAGCAGCAGACTGCGAGTTGACACCAGTATTTCTTCTAATTTCACCTATTTCACAAAATTATCACCTTTTTTCTCCCCTCTCCCATTTCAGGAGAATTTAACAGGAAATGTCTCCATGAGCATTGTTAAACCCCATTGGTAAGAGTCACATCAAGGGCCAGCAACCTCTCCCACGCACTGGGCTATGGGCACGGTTATATATTAGAGAACAGAGCTGGTTTACAGCCCTAGTGATGTTTCCATGGTTAATGATCTGTACCTGTGGAGGACCCAGAGTGGTCCAAAAGGAACCTCCTCCTCCGGATGATGAGCAGATGTGGCCTCAGCCCCTCTGACATCGCCCTTCTTACTGACACCAACACAGTGCCCTTGCTTTCCCCATCAATAAGAAAACCCAAGGATTCTAACGAGGCTTGCGGGAGCCCTGGCGCTGTGCACAGTGCTATAAAAAGACCGTATATTCTTATACCCTGGGGAGAAGAGGAGTGACTCAGTGTGACCCCTGCTTCACCCCATGGCAGGGTCTCCCGTAGAGGTCCTGGACACCACCGAAGCCATGGCCTCACATGCCTCTCACGCTCAGCCGCTGGCCACCACGTGGTCCATCACGCTGTGGTGGCTCCTGGTGTGTTTGCTCCTGCCACACTATCCCGGCAACAATCTTGGTTCAATATTAACTCGCACGGTATCTACTGCTCCTTATCGCAGCAGTGGCAGGGTGCTTGGCTTTCATGCATCAGATACTTTCCCTGTGTTTGTGTTAGTGTCATCCTGGAGCACAGTGCCCTCCCGCTGTGGCCACCACCCTGCACTCCTCTCCTTTACACCAAGAGGGGACAGGTGGCCAAGAGAAGCAGATGTGTGGGGATTCAAAAGCTGACAGTCACCGTGGTTAATACAAACAGAAGGTGATATGAGCTGTGATGTCTGGCTGTAGTCACCAGTAGTGTCATAGCTGTAAAATGGGACAATACATCTTAGAGCAACCAGGGAAATGACAACTGAATTGATGTGGAGTAGAAGATGATATTAAACCTCACGCAGAACTTGAGAGGGGCAGGGCTGACAAACGAAAACCTCCGCTGTTTGCAAAATCTCCCTGAGAGGCAGAGGTACAAAAACCACTAAACAACAGAGTCCTCCCCAGAGGAGAGGTGATTTTACCACCGTCTGGTTGGTGGGATTGAAAGAGACCAAGGGGAGAGAAGTTCTGCGTGGACACAGACCATCAGGCAGAAGACCACCCCCAGCAGACACATGCTCTGCTGCATCTCAGGTTTTCTCTAGTGGCTGCGTTGGAGACCTAAAGGCTTTCCTATGGAAAAAATCACATTGCAACACACAACAGTCTTCTAACGGACATAGCAAAATGTCAGCCTTGTTAGAAACCAGGCTTTTATTCACCGATTGTCCCATCTTTAACAATGCTCTTCCCATGCTCCTCTCATCCCACAAATGGGATCATGAGCTGTTTATTTCTGGCTCTTCCTTACAAACCTTGCTCTCAAATGAGCCTCTTGAAAGGACTAAATGGGAAAACACCAGATGTATGACTTCCTCGAAGAGCTCCAGCAGCCGGGAATGACCGAGCACTGGCACCAGCTTCTGCCTTCCTTCTCACCGAGCCCCAACCCAGGCAGCACGTCACGCCTGGGTATTGCCGAGACCTCGGCAGAGCAAAACCACCACATTGCTCCTTTCATCCAGCAACCCCGCTGAATGCTCCTGAAGTGTCGACAGCTGAAACCCATCTCCCTTTTACTTCTCTATAATTTCCAAGCAAGGATGGAAAATTATAAGCCACAGCCAGCGTTACAGCGTAAAACCTCAGACGCCAGCTCCTCCAAGGACAGCCTCTCCTTTGCCTGTTTCACATTGTACCAGAGAACTCTGTCTTTTCAGGCCTCCCAGCTGGTAGCTGGGGTTCACTTGTCGAAGCAGCCAGTGCTTTCCAGAAATGAAGTGGCTTTGCCACATTTGCAATGACCTCAATTTCTGCTGAGCCACTTCCAAATTGGAAGTCAAGCCAGAAAAAAAACCCAAAAAATCATGAT